ATGGAACAAAAGCACCAAAAGATCTATAGACAGGAAGGTGCAGATGGGGTTGAAAGAGCAGAGGTCCGTCATCTCATGGAGATTACATTTTGTCTACTGCGTCACCATATAAATGCGATTCCAGCTCCTTCCATTGGAGGCATAAGAAGCAAATGGCCTTATCTCTTCAATCAGAGATACATGTATGCTCATTTTGAGCTTCTCACAGATCTTAATGTACTGTCCATGGAGGAATTTGGGAAAGTGATCACAGAATATTTCCGCAACAAACCTACCAACAAAGATGTCCAGACTGTCCTCTCCCAGGGGGAGGACACTGAGGTGGCACTTCATGTGGTCCAGTTGCTGATGGCCCACTTCACAGAGACCACAGATGGGCTCATCCTTCTTGCAGATGTAAGTTTGTTTCTCTTTCTTTCGTAATTTTTATTGCCTTGTATTGTTGCCATCTTAAATTCAGATCATGAACATTATCACTACAATTCTACTGTCTTTTCCCTATAGTCGTCTGCCACAGTGGCTGATGTTGAGAGGACTCTCATGCTACCACCAACTCCTTGTCTAATACTGCTCAGTATGTATTAATTGAAATGACATTGTTTATGTTATATCAGATGAGCTTTCACATTTATTTATATCCCAGCAAAGCATGCACATTATTCCATGTAAAGATATACAAGTTAAGATGCTCTCTGAAATTACTATTTCATGTTTCAGGTGGAACAGAGCATGTGACTGCAGGACGCTGGATGATCTGCCTTGAGGGTGAGGCCCTATGTGAGGGCATCCAACCAACATTTGTGACGGGGCTTGCTGCTCGGTTTTCAGTGTACTACATATTTAATCTGCAGTACCAAGAAGAGGCTGCCTGTACTCTAGAATGTATTGAAAGGTAAGGTTTGTGTTGTCCAACAGACCTGTTTCACGGCAGTCATTTTGACATGAAATTGTAGGGTAAACACAGGTGTTATTGATGATATTAAACTTCAATCCCATTAATGTCTAATCGAGCCAGGGTCCTGGTATAGTAATACTAACTCACTGAAAATATTGCAACACATAAATAGAACAGAACCACAACTAATGTCAGTAGTAATACCTGTGTTTACCTGCTATTTCATGTCAAAATGGCTGTTCTGAAAAAGGTCTGCTGTTCTCTTTACTTGTCTCTAGCTTGCTTGGTCATCATATCCAATTTACTTATGATTGTTTAAGTAAATATATAAGCACCAGTAGTCATCCCAACAATATCTTAACAACATTGATATTATGGTATTACATTAAAAATATTTTGATCATATGTACAAGCCCTATGGCATATAATAGCAGACTTTTTCTTTTCA